TAACTCTTTTCAGAATTGCCAAATATATTAAAATCCGATTCTCTCTCTCTCTCTCTCTCTCTCTCTCTCTCTCTCTCTCTCTCTCTCTCTCTCTCTCTCTCTCTCTCTCTCTGGAAAGAGAAATATCTGTCCAAACGAATGAAAAAACAAACTTGTATTTCCCTCCCTCGAAAATCCCAGCAGAGAACACCGAGGCAGTACCTGCATGTCACAAGAGCGCTGGTCATGGGGTCGTTGAGAGACTCTAATCGCTCTAACACTGCCAGGAGAGGATCCACTGAGGACGGGAGATCCTGGTCGTGCGGCCAGCCGTTCATCACGACCAGAACGCACATGTGGGGTGATACCGTTGGCTGGTGGAGGAAGGTATACTGTAAGTATGTATACGCGCGCGCGCGCGCGCGCGCGTGTGTGCATATTTAGCCTTGATTATGCCCTATAAACATGCATCTACAGCTTTATATGGTAGTCTTCTGTAACTCACCGATCCCTGAAGAGAAATTTCTACGTAGTATTCTACAAAATTCTGATAGGACTGAAGGCCTGTGAGAGTCAGCTCGAATAGTCCCACCTGTTGCCTCTCCACGGCCGGGATGACCGACGGGAATTCCTGTGGGAGGAAAGTTATGCATAGGGGGTTATCGAGGTGGATGGATGTGTTTCGAGGGCCTCTTCATCTTCATGCAAAAATACCATTGTAATGCGCGCGCACACACACACACACGCACATATATATACATATATACACACACACATACATATATATTCCTATACATACACATGCACACACGCAAACACACACTCGTGCGTGTGTGTGTGTTACAAGCATATCTATTTCTATCAACAGTGTGCAAGTATTTACCTCTTTACAGAGTCATATAGTCCATGCATAAAAGCGTATGGCGATAATAGTGGAATCAATATATTAAGAGTAGTAATTCTCGAGTTTTTTTTATCTTTATTCTCTATTCACATTCCAATGACACCTTTGCATTCACATCACAACAATAAACAGAAACGAAAGAGTTTGGATATAACTCCCTCTAGTGTGTAGTCCAAGCACCAACCTTTTCATTAATCTCAATAAAGCACTTCTTGCAGCATGATAGTGGAAATAGAACATGTAGATGAGGACACATACCTGATCATCCTCAGGGAAGGATTGCAAAAGGACCCACACTGGAATGCGTCTTTCGTGCACAAGCGCCCACATAGATTGCATGGTATGGAGCTGGGGGTGCTCTGCTGCAATGTATGCATCCTGGAAGATATGTTGCGTGTTTGAGTGTCTGTTTATGTATGTCTCCTTGAAACGGTAATGTCATATTGAAAAAAAAAATCATAATGGGGAACGAAAGCAAGTACATAAAGTAAAATAAAGTTATGAGACAGAAAATATATCAGCTGCGCAACACAAGGACACACACGCACACACATATATATATGTGTGTGTGTGTGTGTGAATATATATATATATATGTATATATATGTATATATATGCATATATATATGTATATATATATTCACACATATACGTCCATTTATTCATATTGGACGAATCTTCGAATACACTCGCCTTGCGGTCTAAAGCGTTGAGCATCACTGCATTTATATATTGGTTCTCTAAACCGCCTCCCAAACTCTGCACGAACACCATTCTGTTGTCAGCTGAAACATGAAACAGATTATAGACAAAAGTATATATATGTATATATATATATACATATATATGTATATATATATACATATATATATATAAATATATATATACAGACACACACACACACATACACGCATATAGAGCGTGAACATATATGCATACTGCTAAAATAAATACATTTCTTATATATAAAGATTTCATACTACCAATAACATCTCGCACTCGTATCAGATGACCCCACCAACGGCTGGCTGAACGAACTAAACCCAATAGGCAACTTTAATGACCTCTTTGGAATATTTTGTCTCTAGAATCAGAACGCGAGGCTCCTCCACTATCTTAGCTCTTTGTGTCACTAGCTTTAAGGCTGTCACTGTACGGCATGTCTATATTAATTTACTTTGATGTATCTTTTGTGTGTTATAAATCTATTGTGTACCCTTGTGAATTTATCTTATGTTATCTAGCTATCTATCTGTCTGTCTATCTCTATATATGTTGACTATATATTAGTGAATTATAGAATATATCATTTATTCGTGATCCGTTCGTAGGGAATTTATACTTACATACATGCATACATATATACATACATACATACATACATACATACATATATATATATATATATATATATATATATATATATATATATATATATATATATGTATATATATACTCATATATATATGTATACATATATATATATATGTATATATGTATACATACACACACACATACACACGTATTCCTATCTGCGTGTGCGAACATAACGAAGAGTGGTCTGTAATCGAGACTAGAATTACACCTTAATTATATTCCTGAAGCTTTGTACGATATCCTCCCCACACTCACCAGGCAGAATGTCAGGATTCCTGTTGCGATTTGCACAGGCTGGGTTCTTGGCCATAATGAAGGACAAAACCTTTGGGAGATTCTTCAGTTTCTGTAAGTTGTTTAGAGAAGGATATATATATATAAGTATATATCTATCCATCTATATATGTATGCATATCTATCTATCTATCTATCTATCTATCTATCTATCTATCTATCTATCTATCTATCTATCTATATATATATATATATATATATATATATATATAAACATGTATATATATGTATTGACACAAACACAGTAACGTGTACACAAAGATGAAAGGAAAACTACCACAGTAAGAAATGAAATTGAATCGTAACGTTTCTAACTCTTCACGAGTTCCTCTTCATTCATTTGAATAGGAACTCTTGAGGAGTTCGAAACGTTACGATTCAATTTCATTTCTTACTGTGGCAGTTTTCCTTTCATATATATATATATATATATATATATATATATATATATATATATATATATATATGTATGTGTGTGTGTGAGTGTGTATGTGTGTGTGTGTGTATGTGTGTGAGTGTGTGTGTGTGTGTGTGAGTGTGTGTGTGTGTGTGTGTGTGTGTGTGTGTGTGTGTGTGTGTGTGTGTGTGTGTGTGTGTGTGTGTGTGTGTGTGTGTGTGTGTGTGTGTGTGTGTGAGTGTGTGTGTGTGTGTGTGTGCGTGTGTGATTTGACTGACCTTATACTGCATTTCCAGCGCAGATGCTCCGCTCTCCACCTCCGCCTCGCGCAGCCATGAGAGCTCCTTCGGAAAATCTCCACAGGCAAAGCTGGTGTTGATGCCGAAGAGATATTCTTGGAGGATGCGGTGGGCGAAGTTGTACTGAATCTGCGGATCAGTTGGTGGCAAGACGATTTGTTAAAGCTCTCACTTACTCGCCTGGTCTTCATATTTCTCTGTCTCTTTCTTCTCTTTCTTCTCTCTGTCTCTCTCTCTCTCTCTCGCTCTCCCTCTCTCTCTCTCCCTCTCTGTCTCTCTCTTTCTCTCTGTCTCTGTCTATCTGTCAGTCTCTCTCTCTCTCTCTCTCTCTCAATCTCTCTCTCTCCCTCTCTGTCTCTCTCTCTCTCTCTCTCTCTCTCTCAATCTCTCTCTCTCCCTCTCTGTCTAACTCTTTCTCTCTGTCTCTGTCTATCTGTCAGTCTCTCTCTCTCTCTCTCAATCTCTCTCTCTTTCTCTCTCTCAATCTCTCTCTTTCTCTCTCTCAATCTCTCTCTTTCTCTCTCTCAATCTCTCTCTCTCTTTCTCTCTCTCAATCTCTCTCTCTCTTTCTCTCTCTCTCTCTCTCAATCTCTCTCTCTCTTTCTCTCTCTCAATCTCTCTCTTTCTCTCTCTCTCTCGGTCTACCTACCCTTCTATACCTTCTCTACCCACACTAGCCACCCAACCCACCCTGTGCAATCTACCCACCTACCCTCTCACTCTCCCACCTCCTCTACCCACCTTCCCTGCCCCCCCCCCCCCCCCCCCAACCCCCCCATCCTACCCACCTTACCCGTTTTACCCAAACCACTTTACCCATCAAACCTATCTTCCCCATTTTACCCACCCATTAAAGCTTCCCCCCCCCTACCCACTCCCCCCCCCCTTCTCCTCCCATCCTACCCAAACCCACCGTGTTTTCGATGAGTCTCGGCCTCCCGTTCCTCAGCTGAAGGAGGACCTCGAGCCCATCAAAATAACTGGAGGTCTGTATCTGGTCGAGGGCGAGGAGGACGAACAGGATCGTGCCCGTGCGTCCGATGCCGGCGCTGGGGGTGTGTGTGGGGGGTTGGAGGATGGAGGATGGAGGATGGAGGGTGGAGGATGGAAGATGGAGGATGGAGGAGGAGGAGGAAAAGGTGGAGGAGGAGGAGGAGGTGGAGGAGGAGGAGGAGGTGGAGGAAGAGGAGGAGGAGGAAGGGGGAGGGGGAAGAGGGGAAGGGGGGAGGGGGAAGAGGGCGAGGAGGAGGAGAACGAGGAGGAAGAGGAGGAGGAGGAGGTGGAGGAGGAAGAGGAAGAGAAGGAGGAGGAGGAGGAGGAGGAGGAGAAGGAGGAGGAGGAGGAAGGAGCAGTAGCAGGAGGAGGAGGAGGAAGAAGGAGAGTAGGAGGAGGAAGAGGAGGAAGAGGAGGAGGAGGATGAAGGAGGAAGAGGAGGATAATGGAAGGAATAGAAACGGGGTAAATGCGAGGAAGAGGAGGAGGAAGAAGAGGCAAAAGAAAGAAGAGGGGGAAGCAGAGAAGAAGGAGGAGAAACAGGGGAGAGGAAGGGGAGATAAAACAAATAAAACTCATAGGTTTTAATTTTCTTCCTTATATAAGACACAAACAAAAGATAAAAAACTTCACAGATACAAAATAAGACGCGACCAGACAACAGAACCAATATCTACCTCCAGCACATCGTAGGCTAAAAACAAACAAACAAAAAAACAAAAGCAAAAACAAAACAAAAACACCCAGCTCACCTACA